GTGCTGGGATTACAAGCATGAGCCACCACACCTGGCCTCTACCAAAAATTTTAAAAAGCCGGGCTTGGTGGCATGTGCCTGTAGTCCTAGCTGCTACTCAGGAGGCTGAGACAGGAGGATTGCTTGAGCCTGGGAGGTTGAGGCTTCAGTGAGTCATGATCACACCACTGCACTCCAGCCTCAGCAAAAGAGCAAGACCCCATCTCTAAAAAATAATAAAAAAACATATGTAAATGGCATCAAACAGTAAAGAGTTCTTTTATTTTTTTTAAAGAGACAAGTTTTAGCTCTGTCATGCAATCTGGAGTACAGTGGTACGATCACAGCTCACCGCAGCCTTGAACTCCTGGGCTCAGGCAATCCTCAATCCTCCCACCTCAGCCTCTCAAGTACTTGGGATGACAGGCGCACATCACCATGCCTGTCTAATTTGTTGAAACTATTTTTTGTGGAGACAGGGTCTGGCTATGGTGCCTAGGCTGGTCTTGAACTTCTGGGCTCAAGCAATCCTCTGGCTTCAGCCTCCCAAAGTGCTGGCATTACAGGTGTGAGCCACCACACTCAGCCCTAAAAGACCTTTGAGGGTCCAGTTGTAGAAGCATGCTAGGGTAAGTGGCCCTATTAAAAGGGCCTAGGCATGATAACCCTGAGAATATCTACATGTGAGTGGAAGTTTGACAAAAGGGGAAGAGAAGGACTGCAATGATAAGGTCTAGGAGGCATTATTTCGAGGTAAAAGAAGGGTTAGAGATCTTGTCTTTTTGTTGTGGTGCCTGCCCTGGTGCTTGGTGATAACAACTACTCGCTGGAGACTTACTTTACATCATGGATTGTCTCAAAGCCTTTAGTTTTTTTCTCCATAATATGACCTACACATAGCGGCCAAATTGACCTTCTGAAGTGCTGATCACGTCTCTCCTCTCCTATAAAACCACCAGCTACGCCCTTTTCTCCAGAGAGTAAGATCCAAACTCTTTAGTTTGGCAGCTAAGAACCTTCTTGGTGTGACCTTCGCTCGCTCACCTGGCCAGTTTTGTCTCACTCTGCTACTTTTCCAGCACAATGAGATCCTTGCCCATAAGCATGCACTCATTAATTCATCCAGTAAACACATATTGAGCACCTACCATGTGCCAGGCACTGTTCTAAGTGCCATGGAAAGAATGGAAACAAGAGAAATGACTCCCACCTTTTGCGGAGTTTACCAAAAACAAATCAATAAGAAATTATCAGACAGGTATAAGGACTTTGATGAAAAAAGAGGATAATGTGATGGAGGGTGACTAATTTAGATTGGACAGTTAGGGAAAGTCTTCCTAAGGAGATTGGTTTGGGCTGAACCCTGGTTGACAAATAGGAGGCAATGCAAAGGTCTGGGCGAGGAACATTCTGGGCAGAGGGAACAATTAGTACCAAGGGTCTAAAGAGCGCACAACCTTGGCATGACCAAGGAGCAGAGAACTCAAGAGTGCTGAGATGAGGCAAGGGAGAGGGAAGGGGACATCACAAGAGGCTGGAGGGGGAGAGGACAAAACCACAAGGGCCTCTTAGGCCTGGGTAAGGATTTGGGTCGTCATTCTAAAAGCAATGGAAAGCTGCTGAGAAGTGATGTGATTTGATTTAGGATTTTAAAAGTTCACTCTGGTTTCTGTGAGTGAAACCAGAGCTTTTTCAGAGCAAAAATAGTATCAGGAAGATCAGTTTGGAGGCTGCTGCAGGAATTCATGTAAGAGATTGGTCATTTGGGACTGAAGAGTGGCAGTGAAGACGGACAGGTTTGACAGATACGTTTGAGAGGAATCTGGGAGGTAAAATTAATGGAGCTTGGTGATGACCTCAATTTTGGAGTGAGAAAGAACGGATATGTGGAGCATGTTAAAGCAGCAAATCATCTAGTCATGAGGTAGAAAGAAAAGAAAACTATAGAAAGGGTTACCTCCACTCTCAGCAATAGTATTGAAATATTCCCTGCTCATGGCTGGGGGAGGATGGGCAGGAAGACAGGGAGGAGAGAGGGGATTGGCAGGGCCACAAAGCAAATCTCACATTGCCCTTCGAGAGCTCCATTTTACCATAGCTGTACAACATGAAAATCAAAGTGATAGGTGGCCAGGTGTGGTGGCTCTTGCCTGTAATCCCAGTACTTTGGGAGGCCAAGGCAGGTGGATCTCCTGAGGTCAGGAGTTCAAGACCCACCTGGCCAACATGGTGAAACCCTGTCTCTACTTAACATATAAAATTAGCCAGGCGTGGTGGCATGCATCTGTGATCCCAGCTACTCGGGACGCTGAGGCAGGAGAATTGCTTGAATCTGGGAGGCAGAGGGTGCAGTGAGCGAAGATCACGCCATTGCACTCCAGCCTGAGCAACAGAGCAAGACTTCGTCTCAAAAAAACAAAAACAAAAACAAACAAACAAACAAACAAAAAACAGAGCTTACATCTTACAATAACTGAATAACATGAAAAACAAACAAAATGATAGGTGGCCAGGCACAGTGGCTCACGCCTGTAATCCCAGCACTTTGGGAGGCTGAGGCGGGTGGAGCACCTGAGGTCAGGAGTTCGAGACTAGGTGTGATCTCAGCTCACTGCAGCCTCCATTTCCTGGGTTCAAGCAATTCTCCTGCCTCAGCCTCCTGAGTAGGCGGGATTACAGACACATGCCACCATACCTGGATACTTTTTGTATTTTTAGTATAGGTGGGGTTTTGCCAAGTTGGCCAGGCTGGTCTCAAACTCCTGACCTCAGGTAGTCCTCCCGCCTCAGCCTCCCAGAGTGCTGGGATTACAGGCATGAGCCACTGCGCCAAGCCTGAATCTGCATTTCTGAAAAGTTTCCAGATAATGCTGATGCTACTAGTCTGGGCTCACAGTTTGAGAACCACTGCACTGGATTAACTAAAAAAAACTTTCTGGTCAATTATCTAATGATGCTTTCAAAAACGGAGGTAAGGTTATCAGCTGAGTTCTATCCTTCATGAGCCACAGCACTCAAATGGCATTCCATGTAATGGAAGAGAATGAAAGAAAAAACCTTTAATCCGTCACTTTGTTCTCTAAAAAGTGGTAACTACCCAGTTCCCTCCTTAACCCCTTGCACCTGCGCTTACTCCTCCACTTCCATTCCACCAGGATGAAGGACCCCAGCACAGGATCTTGCAAAGCTCCCTAGAACTACACCCCTCCATCATTTCCAAATTCAGACTGGTTTAATGGATGTAATATGGGTCCTCTGGTCCTGTAGTGTCTCACAGGCACTGTAGCAAATCCCAGAGCTGGTCTGTTGTTGCAGAGGAGGACTGCAAGCTGGAAATCTAGTGACTTGCAGCCAAATCTGGCCCTTCCGTTAACTATGTGGCCTATGATGAATCATGTCATTTAGCATTTTTACACCCTAATTTTCAACAGTTTTTTTTTTTTAAGTCCCCCAGTATGAGAGAAAAGGGAATACTTAAAGAAATATTAGCCAAAATTTTCTTGGAAAAAAGACATTAGCAACAGAACTGTAACATTAGAGATATTACATTTATAGTTAACCAACAAAGAGCGTGCGTGTGTGTGTGTGTGTATTTTTAGATCTTCACAACAACCTTGTGAGGTAGGTAAAACTTGAGGCTGAGAGAAGATGAAAGTCTGGCCAAATTAAGCATCAGGGCCAGGACTCAAATACTTTACCTTCTCAATGAAGTCAGTGTTCTTTCCAACACACTGCCTTCCCTCAGTTGATTTCAGTTGAATGTAGGAATGTACTAGTGCATAACCTGGATGGCCCTAAAAGGATCAGAGAATTATATTAACCTAAAACTAAATGGCCAATGACTCAGCAAATTAGAAAACAAGAGTTATTAGTCTTCAGCTAAATGCCACGGAGGACCCCTGCAATATCATTTGACATTCTCAGCAATTTTGCTTCCACAATTTTACAGTCCTCTACCAGGTCCCTCTGGCTTGTTCATTGTAGGATATTTTGTGTGTGTCAGATGACAGCAAACCTCCTGTAGAAGTACCTCATACACTGCCATTTCAAAGAGCTTCTGAAATTCTTTCAGTCTCCAAGTCACAAGACCGCAAACATCCTCTACGATAATTCAGCCTTGTCATGGCAGTGAGACATCTGGTGACTAATGCCTGCACAGCACTGAACTGGGAGTGCATTTCCATTTTATTCAATTTGTGTATTCCAATGCCAAACCTTCCAGTTATAATCTAATTTCTTTCAAGTTCTGAGCTTGGGGTGGGGGGATTACACTAATAAATTTCTAATTGAGTAATAAGACTGATAAAAGTCACCAATCTTGTATTGAGTGTCTTTTAAGGGCCAGGTAGTGCATTAAAGGCTTTATATAAGACCTCAAATATTAATCATTAATAATGATGTGACCATTTAGTTATTGAGCATCTATGTTGTGCCAGGCACTGTACTAGGTGGTTAATGTATGATCTCCAGGCCACATTTTTCTCATTTCTCACTTAGTAACTAGGCATCAACTTTTTTTTTTTTGGAGATGGAGTCTCACTCTGTTGCCCAGGCTGGAGTGCAGTGGCGTGATCTCAGCTCACTGCAACCTGCACCTTCCGGGTTCAAATGATTCTTCTGCCTCACCCTCCTGAGTAGCTGGGACTACGGGTGTGTGCCACCACGCCCAGCTAATTTTTTTTTTTTTTTTTGAGACGGAGTCTCACTCTGTCGCCCAGGCTGGAGTGCAGTGGCTCAATCTTGGCTCGTTGCAAGCTCTACCTCCTGGGTTCACGCCATTCTCCTGCCTCAGCCTCCTGAGTAGCTGGGACTACAGGCGCCCGCCACCACGCCTGGCTAAGTTTTTGTATTTTTAGTAGAGACGGGGTTTCACCGTGTTAGCCAGGCTGGTCTCAAACTCCTGACCTCAAGTGATCCACCCGCCTTGGCCTCCCAAAAGTGCTGGGATTACAAGCGTGAGCCACCACGCCTGGCCAGCATCAACTATTAAACTCACATTTCCCTAAGAGTCAGTCACACACTGAAGGAATGCCTTTTGTATTCAGACCGTTGTTTGGTCCCTTTAAGTTTATCCTCTCTGTTATAACATAGACAAGAAAGAGGGAGGATACATCAGGGCCTAAATTGAGCCACTGATGCCCAGGTTTTCTCTATTTGGGGTGCTTGAAGACAGTAGCAATGAAAATTCACAAGGGAGTAGCAGAACACTAAAGACTATTTCCTAAACCAAATGGGTGTTTTGATGGCATAAAAGATGCGCTTTCTGACGGAAGCTCTTGTTACATTTACTACAGTGGAAAGGTTTTTCTCCTGTATGCGTTCTCTGGTGTGTGAGGAAATGGGAACGCTGATTGAAGGTCTTGCCACACTCAGGACATCGATAGGGCCTGTCTCCTAAGTGGATTCTCTGATGGGTAATAAAGTGGGAGCTCTGATTGAAGCTCTTCCCACACTCCCCACATTTGTACGGTCTTTCTCCTGTGTGGATTCGTTGGTGCTTAATGAGGGCGGAGCTGTCAGTGAATCCTTTCCCACAGTTTTCACACTTAAAAGGTCTCTCACCTGTGTGTGTTCTTTGGTGCGTGACTAAATGTGAGCTCTGACTGAAGCTTTTGTGGCAGTCAGGACAACTGAAAGGTCTTTCTCCTGAATGAGTACTCATGTGAGCTACGAAATGAGAACTATCTCTGAAGCCCTTCCCACACTCTGGGCATTTGAAGGGCCGTTCTCCCGTGTGGGTTCGTTGGTGCTTAATCAAATCTGAACTCTGGCTAAAACTCTCCCCACAGTCATTACACCTGTAAGGCTTCACCCCTGTGTGGGTCCTCTGGTGAGTGATGAAATTTGAGCTTCGACTGAAGCTTTTGTGACATGCCAGGCACGTGTAGGGCTTCTCACCTGTGTGGGTTCTTTGGTGCATTATGAGGTGTGGCTTCCGCCCAAAAGTCTTCCCACACTCTGGGCACTCATAGGGTTTCTCCCCTGTGTGGGTTCTCTGATGTTTGATGAGTGTTGAGCTGTCGCTGAATTTTTTCTCACACCCCTTGCATTGGTAGGGCTTCTCTCCTGTGTGTGTTCTGCGATGGGTGACAAGGTCTGAGCTCTGTTTGAAGCCTTTCCCACACTCAATGCACGTATAGGGCCTCTCGCCAGTGTGGGTTCTTAGGTGTCTTATGAGATAGGAACTCTGGTTAAAGCTTTTCCCGCATTCTGCACACATAGGCTTCTCTCCTACATATCCATCCAGGAGCTTGTTTAAATCCCTCTCCTGTGAAAAGGGCTCCAGCTGGTCCTCTCCTGGAAGGGTTCCATGTTGCCCTTCTAATTCTAGGCCTCGCTCCCAGTTTCCTCTCCAACTAAGAGTATGAGAAAGATCTTTATTGGTTCTTTCTGAAGATGTTCCACATTGTTCTGCTGTTTCAGAAATGTCCTGATTGAGCTTTGCCACCTGATGCTCAAAGTCTGAAAAATTAATGTAAGTAACAGAGAATAAAGTTATCAGTTACCAGGAAGGAATATCAGAAAACAGTGAAAAAGATTAAAATCCCTGTTTCTGTAGCAGATTGCACTTAATTCAACCGTTCTGCTTTTCACTTTGTGAAAAGTTTATTGAGGTTCATTGAGTTGTCAGAACACATGAATTCCTAAACTTTTTAAATTTTAAGATGGCCAGATGAATCTTGATATCCTTCAAGTGAAGACCACATATTGTCAATATTGGGCAGTTTCTTTAGAAGATATTAAAGGTTTAGGCCAGGCGTGGTGGCTCACGCCTGTAATCCCAGCACTTTGGGAGGCCGAGGCATGCAGAGCACTTGAGGTTAGGAGTTCGAGACCAGCCTGGCCAACGTGGTGAAACTCCATCTCTACTAAAAATACAAAAATTAGCTTGGCATGGTGGTGGATGCCTATAGTCCCAGCTACTCGGGAGGCTGAGGCAGGAGAATCACTTGAACCCGGGAGGCGGAGGTTGCTGTGAGCAGAGATTGTGTCACTGCACTCCAGGCTGGGAGACAGAGGGAGACTCCATCTCAGAAAAAACATAGGTTAGACAAAAGTGAAATGCTTAGTCAAAATGTAGACTTTATTTAGTCAACTACTGACCATTAAGTCAAATTTAAATGTCTGCTAGTAGGAACAAAATTCTAGGGTGGCATTCCAAATTCTTCATCTAAACAAGGCTGAAATGCTAGATTTCCTTCCACTGGGGAGCACTCACATCTCACCTGCGTGGCTTTCCCTCAGGATCTTTCTCGCCTCAAAGTTTTGGAGTGGTAGGACCCATGGCTCTTCTTTCTGCTCCAACTGGGAGATTACACTAGGCCTGGAAATTCTACACAGGAATGTAAACATAGGATGTGAGTCTGAGTCAATCACACAAGGCCTGACCAAAATCCAAGCCCTACTCCCTGCCTAGATATGAGAGAACACCAGGGAAACTCTAACATGTATTTGGTCTCATTAAAAGTACAGCCATGGTACAGTGATAAAACAGGGTGATTTCCCCAAAATACTAAGAAAAAAAAGCTCTTTTCCTCCCATAAAAACAAAGCAAAACAAAACAAAAACAAAACAAACAAAAAAAAACCAGACTCAGTTGACAGAAACTCTGAATAAGTAAATACAATAACCATTTCTGAAGGCACAAGGCTAAAGTTAAATATGGAGAGGGTTTGATCAGAAACAAAGCCGCCATGAACTCACCCTTAGAAAGAATAAAGGAAGTTAACTATAATGTTGGGCTTTAAAATTTTCCCAGAATGGCAGCAGTCAAAAAAGCCACGAGAAAAAGATAAACACTTGTTAAGTAGCCTATAAATATATGAAAAATGTTTAACCTCACTATAATCAAAGAAATTCCATTATAACAATGATACACTGAGGCAATATAGTGTAGAGATAATGAGTACAAACTCAGCATTCACACTGCCTGGGTTTGAGTCATAATCCTGCCTCTTACAAGCTGTGTGGCCTTAAGAAAGTTACTTAAACTCTGTGTCTCGATATCTTCATCAATAAAATAGGGATAAGAGGCCGGACGCGGTGACTCACGCCTGTAATCCTAGAACTTTGGGAGGCCGAGGCAGGCGGATCACGAGGTCAGGAGTTTGAGACCAGCCTGGCCAACATAGTGAAACCCCGTCTCTACTAAAAATAGCCGGGCATGATGGCACAGGCCTGTAGTCCCAGTTACTTGGGAGGCTGAGGCAGGAGAATCACTTGAACCTGGGAGGCAGAGGTTGTGGTGAACTGAGGTCACACCACTGCACTCCAGCCTGAGCTACAGAGTGAGACTCTATCTCAAAAAAAAAAAAAAAAAAAGGGATAACAATAAGATCCATTGGCCAGGTGCAGTAGCTCACACCTGTAATCTCAGCACTTTGGGAGGCCAAGGCAGATGGATCACTTGAGGCTAGGAGTTCAAGACCAGCCTGGCCAACACGGAGAAACCCTGTCTCTACTAAAAATACAAAAATTAGCCACATGTGGTGGTGCACACCTGTAATCTCATCTACTTGGGAGGCTGAGGCATGGGAATTGCTTGAGCCTGGGAGGCGGAGGTTGCAGTGAGCTGAGATTGCACCACGGCATTCCAGCCTGGGCGACACAGACTCTATCTCCAAAAAAAAAGACTTCAATAAATGTTAACTATCATTGCTATTTTTCCTAGACTCTTTTTTGTGTTTTGTGTGCATGTTTGTTTTTGAGACAGGCTCTTGCTTTGTCACCCAGGCTGGAGAGCACTGGTACAATCACAGTTCACTGCATCCTCGAGCTCCTGGCTCAAGCGATTCTCTCACCTCAGCCTCCCAAGTAGTTGGGACCACAGGCACAAGCCCCTACACCTGGCTAATGTAACTTTTTGTAGAGACAGGGTCTCATTATGTTGCCCAGGCTGGTCTTGAGCTTCAGAGCTCGAGTGGTCCTCCTGCCTCAACCTCCCAAAATGCTGGGATTATAGGCATGAACCACCACACCCAGCCCCAGACTATTTAAATTATTATACTCACTGTGAAAGGTAGAATATAAAGAAATGGATACTTTCATATAATGTTTGTGGGAATAAATCAATTGATTCGATCTTCTTGGAAGGCATTTTGCAAAGTATTAAATACCTTAGAAATGTATCTGTTCTTTGACCTACCAATTCTAGTTCTGAGAATTCTAAGGAAATGATAAAATTATACTTCAATAAAAAAACACTTTTAAAAAATGAGTTAAAAGAGGTTTATCACAACCTGGTGAAAATTTAGAAATGACCTAAATGTCCCACAACAAAGGAATAATTATATAGCTCACTGCAGCCTGGAACTCCTGTGCTCAAGGGATCCTCCTGCCTCAGCCTCCCAAGTAGCTCAGGCAATTGCTATTTTTATAGGTTAAAAAAAGGTCAGATATATGGTTCAATCTAATGTTTGACTTCAACAACAAAATAATATTGTATTCCATAAAACAAAATACTAGGTGGTTATTTTAAGTGATGTAAAGAAAGATATTTATTGTTGTCAAAATATATTCATGATACAACATGGAAGAAAGAATGTGCAGCTGAATGTACAGTATAATCCCAATATTATCCTTTTGTGCTTATTTTAAAATCATATACATGCTTAGAAAAATGCTGGTAGGATAGTTAACTCTTCAGTGGTGGGATTAGGGATGACGTTTGTTTTCATTTTGATTGTCTTTTGCTTTAATGAGTATACATTACTTGTATAATAGATGAAGTAGGCCAGGTGCAGTGGCTCACGCCTCTAATCCCAGCACTTTGGGAGGCCAAGGCCAGTGGATCACTTGAGGTCAGGAGTTCAAGACCCGCCTGGCCAACATGGTGAAACCTCAACTCTACTAAAAATACAAAAATTAGAGTGCGGTGGCTCTCTCCTGTAATCCCAGCACTTTGGGAGGCCGAAGTGAGTGGATCGCTTGAGGTCAGGAGTTTGAGACCAACCTGGCCCACATGGAGATAACCCATCTCTACTAAAAATACAAAAAAATTATCCAGGAATCGCTTGAACCCAGGAGGCAGAGGTTGCAGTGAGCCGAGATCGCACCACAACACTACAGCCTGGGTGACAGAGTGAGGCTCTGTCACAAAAAAAAAAAAAAAAAAAAAAAAGGTAAAGCAGAAGGAAGGGTAGCCAGGATATTTGGGAAAGAGCAATTGGAGGTATTTTGTTTGTTTGTTTGTTTGTTTGAGACAGAGTCTTGCTCTATTGCCTAGGCTGGAGTGCAATGGTGCGGTCTCGGCTGACTGCAACCTCCGCCTCCCAGGTTCAAGCGATTCTCCTGCTCAGTCTCCAGAGTAACTGGGATTACAGGCGCCTGCTACCACACCCAGCTGATTTTTATATTTTTAGTAGCGATGGGGTTTCATCATGTTGGCCAGGCTGGTCTTGAACTCCTGACCTTGTGATCCACCCACCTCGGCCTATCAAAGTGCTGGGATTACAGGCGTGAGCCACTGCGCCCAGCCTGTTTTTAAGTGACAGAAAAAATTACCTCCTTTTCCACAAAGACCTCAGAAGTCTCAAAAGTTAAGTGGCAGAGGTGAGAGTTCAACCCAGGCTGGAAAAGGGGGACAGTAATACATATATCAAAAAGTTATGATGAGATATTAAAAAGACAATAAATAGCAAAGATATTTACAAACCATAAAATGCATAAAGACGTAATTCTTTTTCTGCCAAGGAGGCAACAATTAATCTTACAGAGGTCTGGAGCTCTAAGACACCAACATACCAGAGACTACTCAGACCTGGGCCCTTTATCTAAGTCTCAAATTAAAGGAGAGTAGTGGCCAGGCATGGTGGCACCCATAATCCCAGCACTTTGGAAGGTGGAAGCAGTGGATTGCTTGAGCTCAGGAGTTTGAGACCAGCCTGGCCAACACAGCAAAATCCTGTCTCTACTAAAAACACCAAAAACTAGCTGGGCATGGTGGCACATGCCTGTGATCCCAGTTACTCAGGAGGTTGAGGTGGGAGAATTGCTTGAGCCCAGGAGGCAAGGGTTGCAGTGAATCGAGATCACGCCACTGCACTCCAGGCTGGATGACAGAGTGAGACCCCATCTCAAAAAAACAAGATAAATAAATAAAATAAAAGAGAGTAGCATTCTTACCCTTTGATAGCCCATTCTTCTAACTGTGCTGGGTGGCATTCCTGAAGAGGATTCTCTAAGCAGTGTCCAGGTAACCCACTCTTCCCTGAAGTCCTCAGCCACATTATCAAGGGTCATCAGTTCCTAAAGCAAGAGACCTCGATATGCATCAGTAGCTCCCTAGGTATTCTCACCATTGTCTGAAAGCCAAAAAATGGCCATCGGTGTACACAAACAACCCCCCACACCTGATCAGAATGGTCCTGAGGTAAATTCTGTCAACCACAGAGGGTTGCTTTTCTTAAGTCTGTTTTTACATACATCTTCTCCTGGCCAACTTTCCCATTACTAAGAGAGGCCTAGGCCTCCCAAACACATCGACAGAACCCAGTCTTTTAGATACATTAACTTTTTGAGGAAAAAATTGTCCACGATGAACAAGGTAAACAAAGGAGAGAGTTGGTAGGTACAATTTGATTTCTGGAAAGCTTTTGATTCTCCCCAACTTCATTTTCCTCAGCAAACAAGGAAATTGTGGACGTAACTATACTCATATTAGTTATGAGAACAGCTGACTTCTTGGCTTGCAGATTTGGGGTCAACCTCAAGGGACAGATTATGCAGAACCTCAAAGGGAACTGTGTTGGATACCACTGTATTTCAAGATCTTAATGGAGTCAGAAATAAGACTGAAAAAGACATGTTTTTTTTTTTTTAAAAAAAGACATGGATAGGTTGTAAAAATAAGTGAAAGTCAATGGGGATAAGCACAAAACACAACTCTTAGAGGCTGAAACCAATCATTAATATATTAATAAATTGACAGCAATATCATGAAAAACATTACTTTTTGGAGGATAGTCAGAGTCGACTACTGGATGGATCAGTAATTTATTCAACAATCAATATGTTGCCAGGCATAGGAGTCACAAAGAAATTAAGATAATGTTTTTTCCCTTAAAAACTTTCCAATACACCAGCCTCAGCAACATATTGAGACCCCGTTCTCTACAAAGAACTTTTAAAAATCAGCCAGGCATGGTGGCATGCACTTGAGTAGCCTCCAGCTACTCAGGAGGCTGAGGTGGGAGGATCACTTCAGCCCAGGAGTTCAAGGCTGCAGTGAGCTATGATGGCGCCACTGCACTCCACGCACTCCAGCCTAGCAACAGAGTGAGCCCCTGTCTCTCCCTTTAAAAAAAAAAAAATTCTGCCGGGCGCGGTGGCTCAAGCCTGTAATCCCAGCACTTTGGGAGAACGAGATGGGCAGATCACCTGGGGTCAGGAGTTCGAGATCAACCTGGCCAACATGGTGAAACCCTGTCTCTACTAAGAATACAAAATTAGCCGGGTGTGGTGGCGCACACCTGTAATCCCAACTACTCGGGAGGCTGCGGCAGGAGAATCGCTTGAACCCGGGAGGCAGAGACTACAGTGAACGGAGATAGCACCGTTGCATTCCAGCCTGGGCAACAAGAGCGAAATCCCCTCTAAAAAAAAAAAAAAAAAAAAAGAGCTTTCAGTATAATTTTTATTTCTACATTCATTACAAAACACAGCTGCAGGGCCCCCTTGCTGGAGACTTCTTAGCCACGGTTATAGAAACCCTGTTTCCCAGCCCGTCCCTTTCCCCATGCGCAGATGACCTCAAAGGCCCCACAGCTCTGAGGGGCTGTGACTAAGTGCCATTGTGAGAATCTCCAGTGCGTTCACCGGGTTTATTAATAGGAACATGACTGCACGCGTGGGGCTGAACCCCGTTCTTCTTCTCCGTGCTGGGGCCCTCACCAGGGTGCGGCGGTCAGAGGGTGGCAGATCAGCTGAAACCCGGGGACCACCATCGAGAAGCAAGAAAACTGATTAAGAGAATGACTTATCTCGACGACGGTATAGAGACCACAGCTACCTCTCCCACACCCCAGCAAGACCCGGGGGCTCCCAAAGGCCAGCGTGGGAACCCCTCTGAGAAAACGTCTGGGTGACGGGCGAGCCCCCTCCACGCCTCTCAGCAGCGCGCCGCTGCCGCCGCAGTCTCCCTCCTTGGATCACTCACCGCCCCAGGGCCCAGCTGGGGATGGAGCAGGAAGTGAGTCCTCCACCGCCGAGCCGCACCCGGCCCGCAACCCCGAGGCGGTCCCTCCCAGAACCCGACCGGGATTCGTGACAGGGCTGTGGGGACACAGGTGGGACTCAGGCTTCGACAGCTCGCAGCCGGAAAGTACCGCCCCTGTCCTCTTGCTATTGGCTTTTTAGTTTCCATGGCTAGAATATTTCTCTGTCCATAGGCTGACAGAGCTATCAATTACCGCCTAGCCTTCTGGGAAACGTAGTCCCGAGCAAGACCTCAAAGGACTCGGAGCCTTGGCTATCCAGTTCCAAGCGTTGAAAAGTGCTAAACCCAATTCCCCAGTTATCGGCCCCCAGTAACCGCCTGTTTGGAGCCTAGGGATCTAAATGCCGTACCCTCAGTGTGGCATCTGCTGATGTGAATCTCCTGGCCTCACCCACCTACCGCGGAGCAGCCTGGTGCCCAACGTGAGGTCTCCCGCGCTCTGGCACCTCGCCCCTCCCCAGCGCAGAGCAGCTCAGCCCTCTGGCCTTTGCAGCCTCTCTTTTGCCCAGTCTTCCACCTCACACCCGGCGGCCGGAGCCTGCAGGGTGTTTGCGGAGGCCGGGTCCCAGACCAACTCAAACTGGACATAAGAAAGGCCCAGCAGACGCCCTTAGGAGAAAACAGACATTCCGTATCCTTCCCTTGGCATCAAACTCCCAGGCGCATCCTCTTTCCGTCTGGTTGATAGCCAGAGGAGGCGGGCGAGGGCATCAAGTATTCTGGGAAATGTGATATTGGGCTTCAAACTGGGGAGGCTCCTGGGTCTCATGTGAAAGCCAGTGGTCACTTTGGGTCGGCCCCTAGCTAAAAAATAATGTCTTTCCTTAAAGTGAAGAAAATGTGCCTGTCTACTCCGTTTGTTGATTCAGTGCAATTTAGAAAAAGAAAGAACATTTTGTGATGTACTATAAAACGCTTAGAATTGCCAGCCATAGAGTTAATGTTGAAGATCCCTTTGATGCTAATTCCACCATTCCTTCAACAAAAATAGGGTGCATTTTCCAGTGGATATTTATTGGGAACATTCTATACTCAAGATCGTTCTGGGAACTGTGGTTACTCGGGAATCATACATAACCATTACCTTCATGAAGTTCACAGGCCAAAAGGAGATAAACCATAAAAGGTATCAAAATCCTAAGTAATATTTTGTCTTTTTTTTTTCATATAGCCAGTTGCATCTTAGTTATTTTGCTACAATTGTAGTCATCTGCAAGATAACTACATTGCATTTTCAGAAACTCTGTCGACTGTGAACAAATATCTGGTTAGCAGAGGTAGTTAGATGTAGTTAGATTTAGTCAGATGAAAATGAGGAAAATGGAAATCCCAGAGGAGCTCAGTAACAAAGGAATGCCCAGGAAACCTAGGGATTGCCAGGCCTTCTGTAACTGGAACAGAGTTCAGGACCTGGAGAACTGAAGGCATCTTCAGGCCCCTCGGTAAGTCTTTCTAGCATTTTGCCATCAGGGAGATCATGAAGATTACTCTTCAATCTGGGACTGGAGTGGGGAGATGAATGAAGAGTCACAGAATCTGGCTGGTGGCTATCCCCTGTCACTCTCTCCAGCTTCTGTTCCTTCTGCCTTACCTTGTTCTCTCAGCGGTTTGTTCACAATGATCAGGTGTGTGGGGAGTGATGGAAAGGAAGTTTGGTCTCATGACAAGAGCAGTCAGTGCAGGAAACCAATCGTGTACCCGCAATGGCCACCTGAAGAGAGGATCATGACCTGTTGGGGGTTGGGTGCTAAAGGGCGTGGCCGAGAGGAGGCATAGAGGAGCGAGGAAAAACTGTGAAAGGACTTCAAGGAGCATGAAAACAGAGAAAGACTTCAGCAGTTAATAGAACTGAATTTATTTTGTTTTATTTATTTTATTTTATTTTTTGAGACTGAGTCTTGCCCTGTCGCCCAGGCTGGAGTACAATGGCGCGACTGCAGCTCACTGCAACCTCCGCCTCCTGGGTTCAAGCAATTCTCCTGCCTCAGCCTCCCAAGTAGCTAGGATTACAGGCGGGCACCACCACGCCGGCTAATTTTTTATATCTTTAGTAGAGACCGGTTTTCACCATGTTGGCAAAGCTGGTCTTGAACTCCTGACCTCAGGTGATCCGCCTGCCTCGGCCTCCCAAAGTGCTGCGGTTACAGGCGTGAGCCATCGCATCCCGCCAGAACTGATTTTTTTTAAAGAGAGAGTCTATCATCTATTGCTGTGTAACAAATTACCCCCAAATTTATTGGTTGAAAAACCAAATATTTGGTTTTGTGCTCCCAGCTGTTCGGAAAAGCCGCCAGTATTTCTCCACCTGGCTTTCCTCTACCACCAGGCAGGAGCACCTGAGGTCCCCCTCCCACCCCACATTCCGCCCGCCCGCACACTCGGACCAGCGCTGTTGATATTTCTGCCCCTATTCTGAGCACACGTCAGCGGAGGGAGCGGGGACGCGGCCTGCGGTCAGCGGCGAAGAAGGCAGGCCCTGCGCGGGAATCTCGGAAGCCATGTGATTCATCCTGAAGTTCCAGTACAAGGAGGACCATCCCTTTGAGTAGCGGAAAAGGGAAGCAGAAAATATCCGGAAGAAATATCTGGACAGGGTCCCTGTGATTGTAGAGAAGGCTCCAAAAGCCAGGGTGCCTGATCTGGACAAGAGGAAGTACCTAGTGCCCTCCGACCTTACCAATGGCCAGTTCTACTTCTTAATCCGGAAGAGAATCCACCTGAGACCTGAGGACGCCTTATTCTTCTTTGTCAACAACACAATCCCTCCCACTAGTGCTACCGTGGGCCAACTGTAGGAGGACAGTCATGAGGAAGATGATTTTCTGTATGTGGCCTACAGTAATGAGAGTGTCTATGGGAAATGAATGGTTAGAAGCCCAGCAGATGGAAGCATCTGGACTTGGGGGTAGGGGAGGGGTGTATGCGCGACTTGGGGAAAGAGAGGGCGGCTCCCACCGCGAGGAGACAGAAGGTGAAGACATCTAGAAACTACACCACACATACCGTCATCACATTTTCACATGCTCAATTGATATTTTTTGCTGCTTCCTCAGCTCAGGGAGAAAGCTCATCAGGACGGAGCTGTTGCATTGGCTTTGATAGAGGAATGGGGATGATGTAATTTTACGGCATTCCTGAGATTTAATTTTTGTGCAATTTCATAGAAGGGTCAGGAGGTGGACAAGTTGGGGTCAGAGATGATGGCAGTCCAGCAGCAACTCCCTGTACTCCCTTCTCTTTAGGCACATATTCTATTTTTGACAGTTGCACAAGACAGGTAGGGAAAGGGGACTTGTGGTAGTGGACCATACCTGGGAACCAAAAGAGACCCACTGTAATTGATGCATCGTGGCCCCTGATCTTCCCTGTCCCACACTTCTTTTCTCCTATCCCAGTTACAATCTCACAAACATCACAGTGCCACCCCAGGGGAGGCAGTAGACATCAACCCAGAAATTTAGACAGGGATCTCTTATTTTTGGAAAATAGGGGTTAGGCATGAGGGTGGTTATGATTAAGAAGACAGTTTTGTTATTAAATAGCATTAAACTGGAATTGACAGAGTGTTGAGCATCTCTGTCTAAACTGTTCTTTCTCTCTGGTGCTCCTTCTATCACCCCTACCTTGGAATTTAATAAGCTTCAGGCATTTCCAATTGCAGAATAAAACCACTCCTAGCACCTTCTCTAGTATTTTCCATGTATCAGGACAGAGATGTCTTATGTAGGGAAGGGGCAGGTATGAAGTAAGGTAGATTATCTACACCTCTCACTCATTCAGGATTCTTGCTCCCATGCCACTGTCCCTTCAGTCTCACACAGAAATACTATGTGATGGCCAGCTGCTTCCCTTCTTGGTTATCCACTGCAGCTGCTAGTTAGAAAGGTTTGCAGGGATGACTTTTAGTAAATCATGGGAATTTTACTGATTTATTGATTTGTTATCACTTTTAGGGTTTTTGGGGTGGGAGTGGGGAGCAGGAATTGCACTCAGACATGACATTTCAATTCATCTCTGCAAATGAAAAGGGTTCTTCCTCTTGGGGGAAATCTGTGTGTCAGTTCTGTCAGCTGCAAGTTCTTGTGTAATGAAGTCAATGCCATCAGGCCAAGGAAATAAAATAATTGCTTACCTTAAAAAACAAAACATGTGCCAGGTGCAGTGGATTATGCCTATAATCCCAGCAATTTGGGAAGCTGAGGCAGGAGGATTGCTTGAGCCCAGGAGTTCAAGACCAGCCAGGGCAACATGGCAAGGCCTCGTCTCTACTAAAAATAAAAAAATCAGCCGGGCTTGGTGATGCGTACCTGTAGTCTCAGCTGCCTGGGAGACTGAGGTAAGAGGATCACTTGAGCCTGGGGAGACTGAGGCTGCAGTAAGCCAGGATGGCACCACTGCACTCTAGCCTGGAAGACAGAGTGAAACCCTGTCTCAAAAAAAATTATTTTATTTCTGTTGATTAGGAATCTGGAACAGCCTAGGTGAGTATCTCTGAAGGTATCTCACACGGTTGCAGTCTAGACACTGGCTGGGACTACAGTCATCTGAAGGCTTGACTGGGGCCAGACGATCTGCTTGCTCCCAATCTCCCTCATGTGACTGTTTCCTCACCTGTAGCTTCTCCTCCCAATGTGTCAGCTGGCTTCCCCAGGGTGAGTGATTAAGATAGAAAGAAGCAGAAGCTGCAATCTAACCTTGGAAGTGATAGACTATCATTTCTGCCATACTCTTTTGGTCACACAGACCAACCCTGGTACAGTGTGGGAGGGGACTACACAAAGGTATGAATACTTAGAGGCAAGGATCATAGTGGGTGTATTAGTCAGGGTTCTCCAGAGAGACAGAACCAATAGGATATATAGATATAGAGAACCAGGGAAGCCAGTAGTGTGAGTCCGTTTAAGTTCAAAGGCCCAGGAACTTGAGGGGCTGCTGGTGCAAGTCCTGAAGTCTGAAAGCTGAAGAACCTGGAGTTCTAATGTCTGAGATCAAGAGAAGAGTGTCCCAGCTCAGAAGAAAGAGAGAGAAAATTCGCCTTTCATCTGTCCTTTTGCACTATCTGGGCTCTCAGCTGACTGGATGGTACCATCTACCCTGGGTGAGGGCACATCTTCCTTATCAGTCTACTAATTTAAATGCCAGTCTCTTCCAAACACACTTACAGACATAACCATAAATAATGTTTTCTCAGCTATCTGGGTATTCCTTAATCTGGTCAAGTTGACACCTAAAACTTTTTTTTAGAGACAGGGTCTCACTCTGTTACCCAGGCTTCCATGCAGTGGTGTGATCATAGTTCACTGCAGCCGCAAACTCCCAGGTTCAAGTGATCCTCCCACCTCAGCCTCCCAAGCAGCTAGGACTACAGGCATGTGCTACTGCACCTGGCAAATTTTAAAATTTTTTGTAGAGAGGAGGTCTTGCTATGTTGCTGACGCTGGTCTTGAACTCCTGGGCTCAAGTGAGCCTCCTGCCTCAGTCCCCCTAAGTGCTGGCATTA